GCGCTCACGTGGGGGGTGGAGCGGGAGGGGCCATTGTGTTTCTAGGCGGCGCCCCCGCTGCCTAGGCAACCGCGCTGGGAAACGTCCGGCCTCCGGCGCACACCGCCAGTTCCCCTCCACTTACCCCTCAGCTCCCACCCCGGTCACCGTCCTGCCCTCCTCCCTCCTTCCCCCTCTTCCCTCCTCCACTTCCCTCTCTTTCCTCCTCCTCTTCCTCTCCCCTTCCCCATTCCGATCACCATTCAAGCCACCCTTTCCTGCTGCACAAAATGGCCACCGCGCTCGCCACCTGCGATCACGTGACTTACCGCCCTCCCGGTTTAGGGCCTCTTTCTGCCTAGCTCTGATTTAGGGGAGGCTACACGCGCAAGGGCGAGGGCTGATTAGACCGGAGAAATCCCACCATATCTCCTAAGCTCGGGAACTGGGAGAGAAAGTAGAGAGAGCAAGAGCGCTAGAGAGACAGGGACGAGCGAAAACTGGATGCATAGGGGAGGAAAGAGGAGTGAAGAGGGCTACGTTAAATTTTAAGGCCTTCTTGCTGGCGGAAAGCGGGAGGCCAGTTCTCGCGAGATCTCGAGAACTCCAAGACCGAGGCTAGGGTATTAGCGGAGAACAGGGGAAGTGAAGTTCAAGCGAACTAGGACAGCATTTGGCGCTCTGGGCTCCAAGGCAGGACGACGAGGGGGCGACAGGACTGACTAGGAAATCCCGCGAGGTTAGGACAGACGGAGCACGCAGTAACTAGGCAGAAGTCGTAGTGGTAGGGGCAGTGCGGGAGTGAGAGGGAGGGCACACGTCTTACGTGCTGACGTAACAGTCTTTCGAGTGGGTATATTAGATCCGTGGCCGCGCCGTGCGCTCCAGAGCCGCAGTTCTCCCGTGAGAGGGCCTTCGCGGTGAAACAACACACTCAGCAGCGGAAGACTCCGAGTTCTCGGTACTCTTCAGGGATGAGTCATGTGGCGGTGGAAAATGCGCTCGGGCTGGACCAGCAGGTGAGCTGCAAGGAGCCCACTGGGTGGCTGCTGCGCGAATCCCTTCCCTGACCTAACCTGTCTGTGGCGCAGCGCTAAGTGGCATCCTTAGTTTCCATTTCCTGGGTGCCTCGGGTTGGCAAGTGTCAGTGTCCCGGGGCTCTGGAGGGACAGAGAGGCGGCAGGAATGTTGGTTGTGGCTGTCGCTCGGGCTCCGGCTCGGCTCGCGGTATTGTCCCCGGGCCGAGCACAATGGCGGCTTTTGTGTGTGCGTGCGCCGGCGGGCGGAGGGGGGAGGGTGTGCGCGCGCTCTCGCGGGGACGCGCACGCGCGAACCCCGACTGACTAGTGACCTGTGGGGGCTGGGGGGAGTGCGCAGCGCGGCAGTAAGCGAATAGGGACCCTTTTGGCCGGGGTTGGGGAGGCGGCCTTCGGCCCTCTTTGCTGGCGCGGCCCAGATTCCTGTTCCGGGGACACGGCGGCGTTCGGCGTTAGTGTGCCTGTGAGCGGGAGGAAGAACGCGGCTCTGGAATGTGGGAGGGGGCGGCGCGGGGGGGGTGGCCTTCGCTCGGGCTAATGGCGCCGGCCTCTTTTGTGTGGTGCTGGGCGGCGCTGTGGCCCACCACTGGGAGAGGCCGGGCCGGTGGGTCCCCGGCCGGCGAGGGCCTGGGAAGGAGGATGGAATGGGCATCTCGTTCCTGGGTTCCTTCCCCAGGCAGGCGCTGTTCTCGTCAGCCCAGTTACCTCACGGTCGTCGCAGGCCCGGCGCCGCGGCCGGCGAGGCCGCGTTTCCGGAGTGGAAAGTTTTGTGACGCAGAAGATTCGGGGAGGAGTGGGGGCGGGGAGGGAGGGAGGAATGGGCCGCTGCGTGCGCGGCGGCGCCGGGCCGTGGAGATAGAGGCTGAACGCAGCGGGGAGACAGCGAGGATGTTAGGGAGCCGGCGCGGCCCTTCTCTCCTCAATTTCTCGGGGTACTCTCTGTGTGGCGGGTTAGCCGAGGGCCTCGCGCAGTTTTCCTCGGGCGGGGGTGGGGTCCTGCGGCTGCTGTGAGTGTCTTCATGTTACCGACGTTTGATGCCGGGATCCGCCTGAGGAAAAATGTGGCTCGGGGCAATAAACAGTTCTGTCGTTGACTTGTTGCTGTCTGTGGAGTGAAAATTTAGGAATAGATCAGAGGCCCCGGGTCCGTGGTCCTCAACCAGAATCCCCTCTTGTAAGGGTTTAGGAGCAGAAGAGAGGACGACGACATGTGCGATCTGAGGGAAGGGGTTACGGGCTTTGGTGGCAGGAAGTCTGCATCCCTCTGCAGCGGTGCCACCGGGCTTTAGATAAGCTCTTCTGTGGGATGTTTCCAGCCTTTAAATAAACTTCTGTCTGTCGTGATTAGGAGAGAGGAAGTTGGTTTCACGAACTCCAGAATAATCCCGAAACGAAGTTTAGCGACACAAATTGATTATAGATTTTAATGTAGTCATATGTAATGTTTTTAGGGATTTAACGATCTGTCCCATTGGGAGCATTTTTTTCCCCTGTAGTGAACCAATTATATTAAATCCTTAATATTGCTGACACTTCATACGTTGAATGGAGCATAGACAAAATCTGGTTATCCCCAGTTTTAACATTTGCCATATAGATGGTGTGGTTTTTAAGGTTCTAGTCAGCAGTGAACCTAATTTGTAATCGATTTAACTCAAAGAATTCGGAGTCAGTCTAGATTTAAGAATTTGTAGCAAATTCACAACTGAGAAGATTGCGACAATGCAATCCTAACAATTTACAGAAACATTTACAGTTGCTTCTTAGTTCATGTTGCTACAGGGTAAAGTTAAAAACAAAGCTTGTACTGTAACAAGTGCAAAAAGACAGTTTGTTTTCTTATTGTGCTTTCAAGTATCAGTGCGTTAACTAACGGAGAAAGCGTGGCAGCATTTTTTGCTAATCGAAATTCTAGAAATGAGGTACCTAAAGTCTTACCATTCATCTTTTATTTTTGAAGGCATTATGGCATCTGCTTCCAATTTTCAGTGACTCCATTGATGATGCTTGCAGTTTGATAGTATCATGTTGAGCTTTTAACACAGGATTTATAAACGTGGTATAGCATATTTTTTTGCATACAGGTTGGCAACAGTACTGTGTGAATTGGTCTTTTGTGGCTTTTTGAAAAAAATGAAATATTTCTTTTTGAATGTATAGTTTTCCCCCTACTGCTTGTAAGTAGATCCTGGTTAGTCTTTATGCAATGTTATGAAGATAGCAGGTAACCTTTTCCTAGAACGTGGAGGCTTTGCCCTACTAGTGTAAGGGGATGGGTAGAAATACAAATTAAGGGCAGTAAAATGTCCTACTCTTTAAGAACATTTGAATGCCAGTTGCGCCATTTATTCAAAGTCGTCTTTGAACTTATTAAAATGGGAGAATATTTAGGTAACTACTTAAGAGTTGTGCTTAACTTAGTGATTATAGTAAGTGGTGGATATATTCCTAATTTTTTTGTTTAGAGTACTATCCTAATTTAAAATATGCATGCAATATTTGGAGATGAAGGAACTAAAGAATGGTCAATTCAAAATTTGTCCTGATATTTTTAGGGCGTGCTTTTTAGGCATAAAATAATTCCAAGTAGAAAGTGGGTGGCATTGGAAACATTTACGATCTGCACTAAAATGCACCCCTTATCTATTTGATATTCAAAGATAATTTTAATTTGAGACTCAATGTAACTAAGTTTTAGTTTGGTTAGGGAGCTTGTACTACGGAAAATGTTACAGGAAAATTCATTTTAAATGAACAAATTAAATTTGGACAGAGTTTCTATTGGATAGCACCAGCATCTTGGTGTGCTCTCTTGTGCAGTATATACAGTAATACTAGTTTGCATTTGCTTAGAGCTTTAAAGAATTCAAAGCATTCTTAGTTACATTTTCATTAAGAGTTTTCATATCAACCCCGTAAGGTAGGCAGGGCAACTATTTGAATGTAATGCTAGTAAGTGCTAGAGAGCAGGACTAATTTTCTCTTAATATAATATTTCAGCATGTGCACTGTTAACCATCTCTCTCTCTCTTCTAGTTTGCTGGCCTAGACCTGAACTCTTCAGATAATCAGAGTGGAGGAACTACAGCTAGCAGTAAGTAAAACATTTCATGGATTTATTGAATATTAGAGCTTAATATCTGTATTTCGTTGGATTTATTTAAAATTTAAGAATTTGTCCTCCAATTTTTATTGTGTAAAGAATTATCTAGACCTAGTGTTATGTAGAATTATGTATTACTTAGTGATCAATCTAAAGTATTGTGGCCTTTGTAAAAAGGACTGGTTGGTTCTCCTGAGTAAAAGTAGTTAACCATTAAAAACCTTATACAATACATAGCTCTAGAAGAGTTTGTCCATTGTATTGATATCCATTATAAATCCTGAACCCAGTTCAGAGGTGGTGGGGATGTGTCCATCCCTGTTAAAGTGAATTGAATAGAATTAAACTCCTTTAAGGGAACATGCACTTTCATCAGATATAGCTACTCCTTTCTTTTTAAGAATATGAGACTTACTAACATAAGATTATACTGAACTTTGGGGTGTTGATTAGGGTTTTAAATGCCATATCATTCTTTTGAAAAGAAGGTAGATATAAAAGTTTTATTATTTTAAAAGCGGGGTTATTCGGAGACTTATTAGAGGTTGGTATTAAGGTAGGGGATCTTGGTGGTTTATTATTTGACAGTAGACCTCTGCTTCAGCTAGGGTCTCTTCCCATCTATTAAACAAAACAACAGTGGGTACAGACTGTGATGTGTCCTTCTTTTTAGGCAAGAAGATCGTCACTGGGCACAAAATTACTTGGTGTTTGCTTTAAATTTCACCTTATTTTCCATGCTAAGAATCTTTTACCTTTAGGAATCGATCATCCTAGTAGAGATCTTTTTAATATTTAATTCAACCCACAAGTGAAAAAGAAAGTTAAATTGCAGATTTAATAAAACACGTTGACATTCCTTTATTTGGGTATATATTATTTGCTTTTGCTTCTCATTTGTAGTCTAGGCTGTATTTGTGCCTGCATACAGAACAACTGGCTTTTAAAGTTCTCCTTACGGAGCAATATCCCATTTAAAGTAAAAATAGATTCATTTTTTCCCCCCTGTAAATTTCAAGGTGAGTAGTCAGACTAGAAGGCTGGAGACTACTTAAAAAATGTTTTCCAGGACCATTATTTTAATAGCAGAAATTTCGGTAAAAGCTTAAATGGAAGGTTTGGGGCATTTAATTAATTTTACATTATTTCTTTTAGAAGGGCGCTATATCCCTCCTCATTTAAGGAATAGAGAAGCTGCTAAAGGTGAGTTCTGACAAGCAACTTCACAGATCTAATTCTTGCTGCATTTTGTAGTTAGTCAAAGCCGAGGGAAAACAGGGCAACTTGGGGAAGTCTGTAGAACATTCCACTCTCCTGTGCTTCTATCAGGACTGGTTCAAATATTAGGACTTACTAACTTTGGAAACACTCATCTAATGTTACTCAGTGGAAAATTCTGCATTCCTATGTCAAACTCTCCTGAGGCCAAGGGCATGGTTTTTTACAGTTTCACTAGTCATATGTTTGTAATCATTCACAACATGGTTTTAGTTTGGAAGAGGTGGATGTCCTACCATGTAAACCAAACTACATGGTGATAACAACAGTTATTTCTGTCCTGTAAAGGTGCCAAAGTGAAGATGGGCTTATTGTGGAGTTGAGAGTGATTTTCTGGTTTCATGTCTTTGCCTTGATTACTTCATTTGAAAGGTTTAGTCCAAAAGGTGTTATGATACCTGGTTCCTTTTCCTATTACATTTGTAATATAGTGATAGATAACTAATAGATGTTTCATATTATGAGATAACCGTTTGGCTGCTGTATATTCCATAAAATAAGTGATCTAAAATTTGGAAGAACAAAGGGGGAATTTCAGGGAAACTATTTAAAAGCCAAGAGGAGAGGATTGGAAGGGTGGAGAGTCCACTGGGGGAAGCCCATGGTTTGCTGTCATTCCTCCATCTCCATATGTAGTCTGCGTTAGTTTCACTATCCCTGGTAATGCACGGATATTAAATCTGTATTATTTCTACCAGGTCACTTTATTATGTTCTTTTAGGTGAAGTTATTGCCAATTTTGTCTTTATCGTCATGGATGTTCTTGGTATTCCTTAGAATATACTAGCTGGAATTGACCCTCTTGTATATTTAGTGCTTCCCTTTTGTTGCAGTGACAGGAATCAGAGAGGCAGTATTGTGGAGGTTTTAGAGCTGGGAGAGATTTAGAAATCTAACCTGACTCTTCATTGCTAGCAAAGGCTGTTGGTCACCTGGCTGACCTAATGGTAGAGGTGGAAGGCAGAAGGAAGTAACTTTTGTGTCATCGAAGCTAGGTAAACCCTCTACCTGTCTTTGGGCTAATTTACCCCTTTGTCATCTCTCACCTGAATATTTATAGCTGTACCCAGGAACTTCTCTACACTGAGAATGTGTAAGGATGAGGGTTTTCCTTTTTCCAGGTATTCCTGATTCTCATCAAGCACATAGTAGATGAACCACTAAAATAATACCATTTGACAGTAGTGTGTTTCATGTGTACAAAGCACTTACACTTTTGAAACTGGAAAATACGATATTAAACCAAGTAATCTGACACTCTAAGAATGTTGTGAATGAACCACTTCTAAGGAAAAATGAGACAATGGTAACTGTTTCCTAGTAAACTCATTCACACCTATAAAATGAATGGAAATTACATCATGATGGTCATATAACAATATCATAATCATTGTGTTACAGGCAAAGCTATTAATCACTTAGAGGTAGTATTCATTCAAGAACATTCTTAGACTGTCAGATTGCTTGATTTAGTATACAGTATTTTCTAGCAGAGAGGTTTTGTGTGCTGGTGGTATAAACCAGCTCTAAATCTTGGTTCTCTTCTAGTGCCATGATAGAAATACCTTGATATTGACCCTTCAGTGGAGGCCTTCAAATTCAGAAAGATTGATAATACGTGAACGTGATTCCTATTTCTAATGACTGCAATAAAATGGGATTTTCTGTGTGTGTGTGTGTGTGTGTGTGTTTTAATTGAAGGGTTCTACGACAAAGACAGTTCGGGGTGGAGTTCTAGCAAAGATAAGGATGCCTACAGCAGTTTTGGGTCTCGCAGTGATTCAAGAGGGAAATCTAGTTTCTTCAGTGATCGTGGAAGTGGATCAAGGGGAAGGTAAGTGATTTCTTGTCTTCTCACCTTATGTGTATGTGTAATAGCAGTTTAGGGATTGGTTGTTAATTTGGTAAGTCTTCATCCTGACCACCTATTTGGATGTTAAGCATTATGTCTGTTTAGTCATTGTATTTTCTTAGCTTTAAGAGGTCTTTACTAAATTGAACCTGTTACGTAGAAATTAGATGAAAATATGAATATGCTCTTTGGCATAATGAGATAAGTTATTTTTCTATTTCTCTAATTTTATATATTCTATTTAAAAGAGTAAGTTCATCTAGGGAATGGCCTAATTTGGTTGGGATTTTTGTGGACTCTGACAAGTTTTAAACACCTTATATTTTTGATTACACAAGTGTGATGAACTGACCTCATGCGCCTAATAGCTGTGGTTAGTCCTGTGTCCTGATTTTTCGCAAACAGGCCTAAAACTCTAAAAACATCTCAATTCAGGTAAGGATTATTTTCTACCTTTCATCCAAATTCTGTCACACAGGCGAATTGTCCCTTAAGTGACATCCTAGTATAACTAGGACGATTGATACCTGATGGGCTATTTTCTTCTTTTCCATACCACTAAATATATTTAGATGAGCACTTTAAATGAAGGTGTGAGCTATGTGCTGATTTCAAATAAAAAAAACTTGATTCTTAATTTTGGCATGTGTGATGCCTGTTTAGGCTTTATAGACATATAACGAAGAATATTGATTTTAGAAAATGAAGTTACATAAATGATACATACAATCTGGTTAATTAGAGTCTCAATTGTCAAATAAGAATAAGTCAGAACTGGCCTGTTGACATCCTTGTAGTTAGCCATAATGAATAATTTATCTCCAGATACAGTTCTAGAGTAGCAGTAGGACTCTGATAATGGTTAAATGATATGGTTGTGACTAATTGCTTGTGCTGTGCAGGTTTGATGATCGTGGACGGAGTGACTATGATGGCATTGGCAGCCGTGGTGACAGAAGTGGCTTTGGCAAATTTGAACGCGGTGGAAACAGTCGCTGGTGTGACAAGTCGGATGAAGATGATTGGTCAAAACCACTCCCACCAAGTGAACGCTTGGAGCAGTAAGTTTTTGAAATATGTGTTAATTGTGATGAGCCTTATTAGCTAGTATAACAATCTTTTGCTTTCAGGGAACTCTTTTCTGGAGGCAACACTGGGATTAACTTTGAGAAATATGATGACATTCCAGTTGAGGCAACAGGCAACAACTGTCCTCCACATATTGAAAGTGTAAGTAGTTTTGCTTGACCTTTTAAGACAGAGGGAAGTATTAATGTTTTCATGGCACATCAGAATGAGATGGGCTTCCTAAGGCATATAGATCAAACACCTCATAGGTTTATATAAGGGAGAGGTCGAGTTCAATGTCACCATTATCAGTAATTCACTACCAGAAATAGAAAATGGTTCCAACATAGGAAGAACTCAAAATCTTCTGCAATGTAGATTAGGCCTGGCGTTGGTTTCTCTCAAAATGTAACGTAATAATTTTACTTAAAGCAGCTGTAACTAAGTTACAAATCAGCTGTTGGTTGGTTGTTTCCATTATTATATTCATGTGAAACAGAAATGGCTCCAGGTAGCCATTTCTAACCCCATTGAATTTCCTAACAGTTCAGCGATGTCGAGATGGGAGAAATTATCATGGGAAACATTGAGCTTACTCGTTATACTCGCCCAACTCCAGTGCAAAAGCATGCTATTCCTATTATCAAAGAGAAAAGAGACTTGATGGCTTGTGCCCAAACAGGTAAGCTCACTCGATGAGAGTAAAACACTGTCATCTTTTTCCTGTAAAGGACCAGATAATAAAATATTTTTGATTTTTGTGGGCCATATGGTCTTTGCTGTTGTGGTGTGAAAGAAGCCATAGATGATACATAAATTACTGGGCATGGCTGTATTCGATAAGAGCTTTATTTATAAAAATAAGCAAGCTGGGCCTCAGTTTGCTGACTCCTGTCATAGATGGATCAAAGAATTTAAAGTAAAATAACTAATAATAATAATTACTAAAATTACTAAATCGCTAGTAATAGGGCAGTTAGAAAACACTGTCATCTACTAGTATCTGTTCAAAAGTAATAAGCAGGCTTTTTTTTTGTTTTTTTGTTTTTGTTTTTTAAATGAGCAATGGGGTCTCCCTGTGTTACCCAGGCTGGAGTGCAGTGGCTGTTCATAAGCTCAATTATAGTGCACTGTAGCCGCCTTGAACTCCTGGGAGTAGCTGGGACTATAGGTGTGCACCACTGTGCCTGGCTGCTGGTGGGGTTTGGGTTTTTTGTTTTGGTTTTTTTTTTGGTAATTGAATGCTCTTTCTCTTCACAGGGTCTGGAAAAACTGCAGCATTTCTCTTGCCCATCTTGAGTCAGATTTATTCAGATGGTCCAGGCGAGGCTTTGAGGGCCATGAAGGTAAATATTTCTTTATTAATATGGGAAATTATAATAGAAGTTTGTAGATGGCTATTGAGAGCTTTCAAAATGATGCTAAGACTTCAGTCTACCTAATGAAAAACGATTTAAGTGTAATCTATAAGTTATAAAAGGAATTATGTTGTGACAAACTTTTTAAAAAGGATGGTAGAGTTAACTCATTTCTATTTCTTAGGAAAATGGAAGGTATGGGCGCCGCAAACAATACCCAATCTCCTTGGTATTGGCACCAACTCGAGAATTGGCAGTACAGATCTATGAGGAAGCCAGAAAAGTAAGTATGCATTTGCGTGATTACTAGCTTTGTCATTGATTCTAATGATATGTTTTATGACCATGTAAAAATCTTGACCTTGAAGTTAATAAAATTTCTTTGCTTATAGTTTTCATACCGATCTAGAGTTCGTCCTTGTGTGGTTTATGGTGGTGCTGATATTGGTCAGCAGATTCGAGACTTAGAACGTGGATGCCACTTGCTAGTAGCCACTCCAGGACGTCTAGTGGATATGATGGAAAGAGGAAAGATTGGATTAGACTTTTGCAAGTATGTTAATTTTTAAATGTATGGGATGCAACGTTAATTTTTAAAAATCACTGGCCATTAGTCTTCTAACTTTTATAAAAAGTTAGTTCATTATAATTTCAATGTTGAAAAATTAACATTTTAGTAGAGGCTGAGAATGACCAGATTATGGGACGGTCAAGTCATAAGAGCTAATTTGGCTGTGTGATCTTGGACGACTTATATGGTGGCAGGAATCCTGTGCTGTGTCTGTATCAAATCATGCAGTGTGAGGAATTTAACTACGTTAATATATAATTATAGGTACAGCTATACTAAAACCATCCTTTGTTTTCTCCTCAAATTCTAAACTCTTTTTTTTTTCCATGATAGATACTTGGTGTTAGATGAAGCTGATCGGATGTTGGATATGGGGTTTGAACCTCAGATACGTAGAATAGTTGAACAAGATACTATGCCTCCAAAGGGTGTCCGCCACACTATGATGTTTAGTGCTACTTTTCCTAAGGAAATACAGGTACTGTTTGATGTTGCAATTTTTTTTTTTTTTTGGTGGTTCCAATGGCTAGAAAGATGTGGTAAATGTTAGTTAGAAATTTATTTATCTCAGTAGGTAACAAAAAATTTTCTTTCAGATGCTTGCTCGTGATTTCTTGGATGAATATATCTTTTTGGCTGTAGGAAGAGTTGGCTCTACCTCTGAGAACATCACACAGAAAGTAGTTTGGGTGGAAGAACCAGACAAAAGGTCATTTCTACTTGACCTCCTAAATGCAACAGGTAAAATTACGAATAATATTAGCATTGCTCTGGTAATAAGAATCCATTTGGGCTGGGCACAGCCCAGCTACTTAGGAGGCAGGAGGCTCGCTTGAGCCCGGGAGTTTGAGGCTATAGTGTGCCATCGTGCTTGTGAATAGCCACTCTGAGACCTGTCTGTTAGAAAAAGAAATCCGTTTGGGTCACCTTTATTACTTTTTTCCCCCCATTGAAAACATTGTTAAAAGTCTATTTTAAAAAATATACATATTTTTTAATTGACACAATTCTTAAAATGTATTTTTAAATTGGCACATTTATGGGATAACTGATATTAATATTTTGATACATGTATACAATGTATAATGATCAAATCAGGGTAATTAGCATATCTATCACCTCAAACCTTTATCATTTTTGTGTTAACATTCAAAATCCTCTCCTTGATATTTGAAAAATACAATAAATTACTGTTTATAAGTCACCCTACAGTGCTACAGAACACTAGAACTTTCTGTATCTAAAACAGTCTATTTTAATTCCTTCTATTTGAATGTTTATTGAGTACAAAGAGAACTAAGCCATATTATTGACAAAAATTGTAATTTTTCAAATTCAGGCAAGGATTCACTGACCTTAGTGTTTGTGGAGACCAAAAAGGGTGCAGATTCTCTGGAGGATTTCTTATACCATGAAGGATATGCTTGTACCAGTATCCATGGAGACCGGTCTCAGAGAGATAGGGAAGAGGCCCTTCACCAGTTCCGCTCAGGAAAAAGCCCAATTCTAGTGGCTACAGCAGTATGTATAATAATACCTTATTTTCATTCAAGTTCAGCATGTTCATGTATTTGCTTTAGTGGGCCATATATAACCAAAGTTAATTTCCAGGTAGCAGCAAGAGGACTGGACATTTCAAATGTGAAACATGTTATCAATTTTGATTTGCCAAGTGATATTGAAGAATACGTACATCGCATTGGCCGTACAGGACGTGTAGGAAACCTTGGTAAGTGTTTAGCTACTTGATGGTCTGATTGTTTTTCGTTGTGATACATGTAGCAAAGAACTTGACAGCATCTTAAATATTAGAGTCCCTATTTCCAAGAAATGCAGTTAAAATATATTTTAACAATAAAGGCGAATTTTTTTTTTTCACTTTTTAAACAAGAAAAATTAGATTTTTGCTCAAAGCAGTTCGAGTTGGTTAAGTATCAGATTGTAATCTTTTTAAAAAAATATTTTTAATCTATGTAGGAAAGTAAGAATGTTAAGATACTTCATTTATGTGCTACCTTCGTTTATGTGCTTTTTTGAACTCTTTTAGGCCTAGCCACCTCATTCTTTAATGAGAGGAACATAAATATTACTAAGGATTTGTTGGATCTTCTTGTTGAAGCTAAACAAGAAGTGCCATCTTGGTTAGAAAACATGGCTTATGAACACCACTACAAGGGTAGTAGTCGTGGACGTTCTAAGAGGTAAGATACAGGTGATATATGATGAGGGGATGTGGGTGGGTAGGTGGATATTTACTTATACTTCCTAGCATTTGCTCTGGGCAGGTAATGTCCGGGTTTAACTTTTTCCAGTATTTAAAACGCTTAATTAGGCTGCCTAGATTCTTTGGATAAGGATTTGCCGTGACGAGGTGGTTCATACCTGTAATCCCAGCATGGTGGGGGGCGCTGAGGTGGGAAGATCGCTTAAGGCCAGGAGTTCAAGACCAGCCTAGGCAACATAGTGAGACCCTGTCTCTACAGAAAATTAAAAAATTAGCCAGGCATGGTGGCATACATCTTGTAGTCCTAGCTACTTGGGAGGCTGAGGTGGAAGGATCGTTTGAGCCCAGGGGTTTGAGGTTACAGTGAGCTATGATGATTGCACGACTGAGCAACAGAGTGAGATCCTGTCCCTTTTAAAAACAGAACAAATGTTTAGAAAGAGTGATACTAAGTTCATGTCAGCCCTTCACTGTTAAGGCCTTTGAAACCACTATTATGGGTTGTATGGGGAATTATTTGAATGGAAAAATCAGAAATTTGTCATTGAGAAGTTTTAACAGGAATTGGGTTGGTTAGTGGAATTTCATTTTCATGTGAACCAACTTACATTTTGTCCTTGTAGTAGTAGATTTAGTGGAGGATTTGGTGCCAGAGACTATCGACAAAGTAGTGGTTCCAGCAGTTCCAGCTTCAGCAGCAGCCGCGCAAGCAGCGGCCGCAGTGGTGGAGGCGGCCATGGCAGCAGCAGAGGATTTGGTGGAGGTAGTGTTAATTTTTAACTTCATTATCTTTGGGAAAGGCTTTTTTCCTTTTAGTCATCTTTTTCAAAGGGTAATTAAAACCAGTGGGGAAGTTCAGTGCCGGTAACTTACATCGAAATACTTGAAGGGAAGGGAAGGATTGTATTTAACAATGATGACTTCATTAATTTCTTTTTTTTTTTTTTAAATCTCTCCTTAGGTGGCTATGGAGGCTTTTACAACAGTGATGGATATGGAGGAAATTATAACTCCCAGGGGGTTGACTGGTGGGGTAACTGAGCCTGCTTTGCAGTAGGTCACCCTGCCAAACAAGCTAATATGGAAACCACATGTAACTTAGCCAGACTATACCTTGTGTAGCTTCAAGAACTCGCAGTACATTACCAGCTGTGATTCTCCACTGAAATTTTTTTTTTAAGGGAGCTCAAGGTCACAAGAAGAGATGAAAGGAACAATCAGCAGCCCTGTTCGGAAGGTGGTTTGAAGACTTCATTGCTGTAGTTTGGATTAACTCCCCTCCCGCCTACCCCCATTCCCAAACTGCATTTATAATTTTGTGACTGAGGATCATTTGTTTGTTAATGTACTGTGCCTTTAACTTTAGACAACTTTTTATTTTGATGTCCTGTTGGCTCAGTAATGCTCAAGGTATCAATTGTTTTGACAAAATAAATTTACTGAACTTGGGCTAAAATCAAACCTTGGCACACAGGTGTGATACAACTTAACAGGAATCATCGATTCATCCATAAATATTATAAGGAAAAAACTTATGCGGTAGCCTGCATTAGGGCTTTTTGATACTTGCAGATTGGGGGAAAACAAACAACAAATGTCTTGAAGCATATTAATGGAATTAGTTTCTAATGTGGCAAACTGTATTAAGTTAAAGTTCTGATTTGCTCACTCTATCCTGGATAGGTACTTAGAACCTGATAGTCTTTAAACAAGCCATTCCAGTCATGATGAGGTGATGTATGAATACATGCATACATTCAAAGCACTGTTTTCAAAGTTAATGCAAGTAAATACAGCAATTCCTCTTTCAATGTTTAGGCAGATCATTAATTATGAGCTAGCCAAATGTGGGCATACTATTACAGGGAAAGTTTAAAGGTCTGATAACTTGAAATAGGTTTTTAGGAGAATTCATCTACTTAGACTTTTTAAATGCCTGCCATAAATGAAATTGAAATGGTAGAATGGCTGACCACAGCAATGACCAGCCCTCATTAGGGCACTGGATGATTTTTGGTCTAATAACGCATGCTAGTGTTGATGTTTTTTGGTCAAGAGGGTATGAACAGGAAGAATTATGCAGCAGGCTTTATTTTAAATGCCGATTCACATTACTCTGTTCAAGCTGCGTTGAGATGTTAAACTGGCTTACTATAGGCTTTGTAAAAATGGCTCCAGAAGAGTAACAAACTGAAATCTTTGAGATCACACAGGTTGGAAATATGTACATAACTGCACAAGGTGTCAATTCTGCTCTACAGTGCAGTTTTAGTCAGTTTTAGTTGCATAGGTTTCCATTGTATTTATAGTCTGTTTATGCTAAATCTGGCCAAAGATGAGCATTGTCCACCACTAAAATGCCTCTGCCACTTTGAATTCTGTGCTAATTTTGTGGCCAGAATGCGGTGATCAAAACGCTCAATCTTTTTACAGTGGCATAGGAAGACGGCAAAAATTTCCTAAAGTGCAATAGATTTTCAAGTGTATTGTGCCTTGTTCTAAAACTTTTATTAAGTAGGTGCACTTGACAGTATTGAGGTCATTTGTTATGGTGCTATTTCAATTAGTCTAGGTTTAGGCCCTTGTACATTTTGCCCATAACTTTTTACAAAGTACTTCTTTTATTGCACATTCAGAGAATTTTATATATATGTCTTGTGTGCGTGTCCTTAAACTTCCAATCTTATTTTGTCTCTTGGAGATTGTTGAACGCAGCTTGTCTAGGAAGGGGATGGGACTAGATTCTAAAATTTATTTGGGACCATGGGAATGATAGTTGGGAAGAAAACTATTTGCACACGACAGATTTCTAGATACTTTTTGCTGCTAGTTTTATGTAATATTTATTGAACATTTTGACAAATATTTATTTTTGTAAGCCTAAAAGTGATTCTTTGAAAGTTTAAAGAAACTTGACCAAAAGACAGTACAAAAACACTGGCACTTGAATGTTGAATGTCACCGTATGCGTGAAATTATATATTTCGGGGTAGTGTGAGCTTTTAATGTTAAGTCATATTAAACTCTTAAGTCAAATTAAGCAGACCCGGCATTGGCAGTGTAGCCATAACTTTCTGATGTTAGTAAAAACAAAATTGGCGACTTGAAATTAAATTCATGCCAAGGTTTTGATACACTTGTCTTAAGATATTAATGAAACACTTCAAAACACTGATATGAAGTGTCCAGATTCTCAGATGTTTGTTGTGTGAGTTTTGTTTAGTTGTGTGTATTTTTTTTTTTTCAGTGAATGTCTGGCACATTGCAATCCTCAAACATGTGGTTATCTTTGTTGTATTGGCATAATCAGTGACTTGTACATTCAGCAATAGCATTTGAGCAAGTTTTATCAGCAAGCAATATTTTCAGTTAATAAATAAGGTTTCAAAAAATCATTTAAGAATGGATTTAAACTTGCTGAATGTAAAGATTGAACCTCAAGTCACTGTAGCTTTAGTAATTGCTTATTGTATTAGTTTAGATGCTAGCACTGCATGTGCTGTGCATATTCTGATTTTATTAAAATAAAAAGTTGAACTGCACAGTCTCCTTTGTTGTTGTCAATTGTGGTTTATTTTCACAGGTGAAAATAAAGTTGTGCTCTTGCCTGAAGAATTGTAAAATGTAATTTTTTTGTTGCGGTCCAATGCTATTGAGATGCCTCTTGGAGACAGAATTACTCTGGTACCATAGTATTTCTAATAAAAGATGGTGTTTGAAATACAGTGAAACAGGATTTTTGTAATAGTTGGAAATCTAAAAGGCTCTTGTTGATGCAGCATGTGTTACAAGTTGGTTTGTACTTTCAGCAACTTAGTACAGATGAGTCTCTTTGTTCTTTGAAGTATTTAATGTGAAGGATGATTGAACAGTGGAAGAACAAATAGGGTAAAACAAATATATTAGTAATCCAACAAGTGATGGTAAGTATCTACTTAGGGATCAAGAATGTATTTGGGCTGTGCGTGATGGCCTGCACCTGCAGTTGCGGCTACTGGCGAGGCTGAGGTGAGAGGATTGCTTGAGCCCAAGAGTTTGAGTCCAGCCTGGGCAACATGCTGAGACCTTGGCCCTCTAAAAATATAGTTGGGTTCTGGGTGAGTGGTACCCATTCTTGCCACACATTGTTGCAGGCTACTGATTAACAGGACATGGTGTGACAGCCATAACTGTCTAGATGTAACTTCTAAGAGGTTATGTTGAACCACATGAAACAGCTCTCCAGTTTTTTGGGGTCAAAAATGGTCAAATATTGGCAGTTTGGTATGGTTCAACCTAATGAAAGTACAGGTATTAAGCTTTTTCACTTTGAGTTCTAGGTTTGCAGTATGATTAAGAACAATTTTTTGCATTGTAAGAAATATTTGGTTCTGGATAGTTGACCAGTCTCAAAATTGCAAGCCTAAGTTTTTAAGGCAGAATTTTGAAACATACCATAGGGATTTTGGAGATGGAAAAGGGGAAGGTAGTTCAGTCTGAATTTAGTCAAAATAAGCATGGAAAGAGGTTATTGAGTATTACTAGATTGAAAAAGGTAGTTAGTGGCTAAAGGTGACTGAAATGAGTGAAATTGGATTCTAAGGATAGTTCGAGGTCCTCTATGGGAATTATGAGAAGAGTAAACAGCTAAAGACAATCTGTTCTGGGGGAACTGCCTAAATTTTTAATTGAGATTATTTTTAGTCTAGCATAGTTAGGATTACGATAACCAAAGTTTATTGTGTTTACATACATTAATTTCTGTGGTTTAGTTTGAATTATTTAACATGCTTGAATGCTTTTGTCACTCTTCCACACTGTTGATGTGTTTCCCGGGTTCTTAATTTCTTGGCTGAATTTCAAGATTTTTTTTTAATGGCTTTATAGGAGCTATCTTTTTGCATGTTTGAAAATGTCTAATGTCTTCATTCTTAAAAGTGTTTCCCTTTCCCCTATGCTCTAAGTAACCTGCTTGAGTGGCTACAGGCTCATTCTTTGAAGCTCAGTGACTAATATATTTGTGTCAACAATGGCTTCACCCCCTCTCTACCGGAATACAGAAGTTTCATTCACTACAGACACAGGGCTTTTAGAGTTTTAAAGATATCTTTGGCTTCCGTCTTTTTCTGTTATATTTCTATTCTCATCGGACACAATTCTGAGTATATTTAAACCTGCTTTGCTTCATATCTTGTCCTCATTTCAGTTTCTGATCTATTTTTCAGCATGTTTAGTGTCTATATTTTTTCAAATGTAGGTTTCTTCTCTGTAATGACTATTTTCAATTTCTTTTTGTCATCTTTTATCATTGATTTTCTTTGAGTTCTCTCTACATACACTTGACTGGGTTGTCTTTAGGGGTAATTCTGAAATAGGACTCTTTTTTTTTTTTTTTACGAAGAGCACTGTTTATATTGTGGAAGGCTATTCTGTGACCTGGAAAGATGTTTATTAATGGGAGAAAAATGTAAAACACCAACACAGTTTAAGAGCAGGAAAACATGTTTCAAAACGAGTTAAACGTAGAATTACCATATGACTCAGCAATTCCACTCCTAGGAGAATTCTACCCAGGAGAAATGAAAATATTAAGTATGCAAATGTTCATACCATTATTCATGGTAACCAAAAAGGGGAAACAACTCAAATGTCCACCAACCGGTTGGTGCTGGATACGCCAAATGTATATACATAAAATGGAATACTGTTTGGTAATAAGGAATCAAGTACTGATACTATCTCTGTCCTCTGGGGACCGAACCACATCCCCAATTTCCTTCTCCCTCTTCAAAGGGCCATTAGGTGGGCCTATCAGTACTATAATACGTATCTGTGTTCTAAATTTTCTGTGGTTGTAGATCCAGTTTCAGTCCTGATTTTATTGTATTTAGCATATACAGTCATGATTTATTGGGGTGGTTACTGTTTTCTTGTTACATTGAAGATGACATTTTATTTTTTGAGAGAGTAAAATGGCTCTTTTGCTGGAAATCTCCATTTTTTACTCCTGTTTCATTCATTCTATTCACAACAGCCCATCTCATCTTACTTAACATCAGTGGATTAGCGTGTTAGTATGCAGAGTAGTTGGTCTCTGAGCCTCTACTCCTGACCTCAGCCACCCATTAGGATCTTTCGGTACAAGGCGAAAGTTGATTTAGGGTTCATTCCAAACCTGATTTGGGTGTCTGCTTGAGTATTGGGCACTGGGAAATGTAGTGATGAATTCAGATTAGTCTTCACCCTCTTGGAACCTAGTCATTTTTCTTTTGTGTTTCTCCAACTTGGTGTTTTCAACTGGATCCTATTCATTTCCTGCTTCGGAGTTTGGATACAACTCTTAGGTTTTATTTAATTCTACAGGGAAGTTGGGTTTTTATCTTCTATTGTGGCTGTACGTAAGCTCATCATGACAGGATGGTTCCTGTGATTGTATTCTCTACTAGGGGAGATAAAACAACTAATGATATTTGTTTCAAATGGTACTATCAATAAGGTGGACATAACTATATTCTTTAATGATCGAGCAGTCAAAGGTTTTTAAAAATGTGTTTAATACTAGAAGACAAGGATATATTTTGGTAATAGCTCTGTTTAAAACCCTAAGAGGAAGTAGTGTCACCTGGTCATATTTGTGCTTTTTTTCCTCTGCTTAGATGCTTCCCATTCCTTCCTAGTAGACAAGGTCCATACCTCCTCCAGTAGGAGGATAAGGCTAAAAGTGCCCCTGTTTAAGGCTAAATGTTTCTTTGTGCCTTTCTCAAGAACCTAGAGCTTGTGGTTGTCTTCCATCTATTAACGCACCATCTAAATTTCCTGCTCTCCTGGCTCCCTTCCTTTAATATCGCCCATCTCAAAGCCCTCCTGACCTCATGTTCCTCTCCAGCTTGCTGCTCCATTCTTCTGTACCGCCCCCAGTTTCCGCAAAACCTCAAATTCACTATGTCACTTCCTTGCCTTATTTTTATTCTACTCTAATCAGCTTTTTTCTGGGCCACGCCATTCCCCTGAAGTGGCACTTCGCAATCACCTATTCTTTCTTGGTTTTACTAGGCCTTTCAGCAGCACCTGTTGAAACACCAAGTTGGAGAAACACAAAAGAGCATTGCAGACAGCAGAAAAAAATGTTTGGAGGAGGCACACTGGCTGTTTTCATGTGTCAGTACAGAAGGGGCCGCATCACTTCACTCATGCCACTTTGGCACAAAATTGCTCATGGGGCCACATCTGACCGCCAGGGAGGCTGGAAAGTGTAATCTAGCTGGGCACATTCTAATACTGTAAAAGAAGGGGAGGATGTATCTCGGGGGCTAGCAGTCTGCAACGCAGCCAAAAATTAAAGATACCACCTTTATCCAATATAAAATTCCCATTATGCAAATGATTTACTTCTGGAGTTTCTGTTGTGTTAACTCTGGCCTCTTGAGTCAGTTATGTGCTAGAACCACATTGTTTTTAATTATTGAGGCTTTGTAATATGTTTTAATATCTTTAATATCTAGTCCTCTCTTCAGTGCTCTTAAGAGTTTTTCTGATCTTATATAAAAAAATTTATAACCAGTTGGTCTAATCCTAAAATTCAGGTTCTTTTGTGATGATGTTAATTTTTAAATTAACTTAGGAATGAGGGATATTTACAACGAATTAAGTTGTCTTTTTTTTTTTTTTTGCCCTTCAGTGATGTTTTAAAACTTTTCTTGATATAGATCTTCACATTTCATGTGAAGTTTATTCCTAGGTATTTTATTTGTTACTATTTTAAACTGGGTATCTTTCATTATATTTTCTAAGTGGTAATTGTATATATTAATTTCTGTGCATTTTATTTTCCCCTCACTTACTGAATTGTCATACTGTTTTTTGTTTTTTTTTTTTTTTTTTTTTGGAGACAGAGTCTCACTCTTTTCCCCGGGCTAGAGTGAGTGCCGTGGCGTCAGCCTAGCTCACAGCAACCTCACACTCCTGGGCTCAAGCAATCCTTCTGCCTCCCGAGTAGGTGGGACTACAGGCATGCGCCACCATGCCCGGCTAATTTTTTCTATATGTTTTTAGTTGTCTGATTAATTTCTTCCTATTTTTAGTAGAGACGGGGTCTCGCTCTTGCTCAGGCTGGTTTCGAACTCCTGAGCTCAAACAATCCACCCTCCTCGGCCTCCCAGAGTGCTTGTCATACTATTTATAGTAGTTTCTCAGTTACTTCTCTTGGCTTTTCCAGGTTGACAGTTACATCATCTGCAGATAATGATAGTTTTAGCTCCTCTTTCCCAATTTTTAGACCATTAATTTATTTTATCTAATTGTTTTGTTTAGTATCGCCACTACAATGTTAAGTAATAATGGTGAATTTTCGTGTTTCCCCATTAAGCATGATGCTAGAATAATGTTAAACATGTCAAGAGTATCAATCTGTTCATATTTTGAGTTTTTATTAAGAATGGATGTTTTATTAAGAATTGTCACATCTTTTCAGCCTTTATGGAGATGACTATATGTTTTTTCTTCCCTAGATTTATTAATATACTTAAGTATTTTCTAAATAACGTGGTACTCACCATTTGAACAAAGAACCAAACAGGTGGTAGATAGCAATGGATGCTTGTACTTTCTCCCTCCTGTTCCCTGCTCTCTCC